CTATGGCTTAATATAGTTTAGCTTATAATTTTGAAATTATTAGTTATTTTCATACATAACATGTACAATAAATATTTATAAAATTATTTTATTTTTTTTTCAAATTTTTAAGTGTTCGAACTATTTTTGGTTTTAAAAATTTTCTGAGAAATATTCTGTTCTTTATATACAAATATATATAAAAATATAATTTTTTAATAATACACAAAAAAGATATATAAAAAAGCCAAAAATTCAATTAATAAAAATAATATAAAATGAATTTTTGTTGTTGTAGTTCACTACTGTTCAAAAAACGTCTTTATAAAAAATGTTTATAAAAAAGGTCGAAGATATAAATGATTTTGTTTCGAATGTGCATAGCACATTTAATAAATTCATAATTACCAGCTATAACTGGATAAGTCAGTCTTAAAGCTAAACTATTTTTGCTTCTAGAAATAACAGAATAGAACAAGGGCTTTAATTTATTCATTGAACTTTTTTTAGTGATTAAAACATCACTAATTGTAATTTTTGAACATTACAAATTCTATGTTCTACAACTACAACTTTACTTTTTCACTTTTAATAAGTAATCCTTTATCTATAGGCCTTACTTAAAGAGAATGGGTTGATTAAAGTCGGAAAAAAATAACGTTATCTGCTTGTTTAGAGCATTTATGTTTGTATAACTGATAGTATAAGTGTTTTAATTTAATAGTATTTTATATCTCACAGTTTCTAAATAATATATCTTAAATATCGTAAAAAAATTGATTGTTTAATATTGACTATTAAAAAATATATTTGTTATAATAGCAAGTTAAGGTTTAGAAAGGTAGTATTTGAAATTAAAAAAAAATAATACTGAGGAAATTTTTTATTTTATTTTATACGTTATTTAATTGCATGACATTAAAAATGAAATTAAAAATTAAAATTATGTTTATATTATTTCTAATTTCTACTAATTAATCATTACGGAAATTTCTTAAAAACTAAACTTTATAGTTCCGCCATAAATTTCACTAATAATTAAGGCGATTATTCTCGAAGGCAGAAGACTTTGTTTGCTTCCAAAATTAAAAACGTTGTTGACTTATCCCTATAGATTGGGTCTTCAAATACTTCCACACAAGAAATATATTACCAATAAAAATAATAAAATCTATACACCAATGAAACATATTTTTCGAGACAATATATTCATTGAACACTTCTGTTAATAAGTGTTAATAAGACTTCTTCGACAAAACTATATATAACACTGTCTGATTGAGACCACCAGCCATGTAGGGCATGTTCGCCCATATATGGAAAAATTAACCATTAGCATGGCTGTATAAAACATTAATTTTGGTTTGACAAAACAACATATATATAGTACTGCTTTGTTGAGGCCACCCTTTAAAAATGGCATATTCACCTACAAGATAAACTCTTGATCGTGGCTATACTGAGTTCAAAACAGTATGCTACCAATACTAATCAACAAATATTTTCTTTTCCTCGATTTGTTATGAGAAAGTAAATTTTAATTGCTTATTAAATAATTTTGTTGATAGTAAACTAATTTAAAAGAATAAAATTTAAACTACTTTTAAATTAGTAGTATGTTGTTATTTAATATTATTATTATATTATCAAATATTTGTTAACAATCAAAGGCATTTAATTAATACTATATATAAAGACATCTGCAAGCTGCAATATCTTACACAAAATATCTTTTTATATAAGATTGCAGCTTTGCAGGAAGGCCCATTAGCTTTCTTGGTTATATACTATCAATGTGCCTATTCTCACCATTATTTTCTTGATAACTACTATGATAACTACTATGAAGCTCCAGATTCATTCATCTGGAGCTTCTTTTTTTGTTTGATTAAATATTTCTAAATTTACTTAAGAAATTTGAAGAAGGTCGTTGAGCCATAATCTATCTATTCTTCAAATTGATTACAGTAAAGAAATATACTGATTTTTGAAAATGTTGGTTATCTTATAAAAATTTATTATTTTTACTTAATCATTATGTGTTTTATATTTTTTAAATTGTGTCTCAATTATAGTACTTGTGTTAGAAGTAATAATACAAAATGTATATGAGTTGAGTTGATTATGTACTGGGTTAAGTTATTAAATCAAAACTTATCAAAATTTATTTATGGGTTTATGATTAAAAGTGTAGATATTCAAAGATAGGCGCGATAATTAATCATTTATACTTATATATATTATTTGTAGAAATGAAACTGGTATCAACAATGTTATGGTAAAATTTTACTTCCGTACAATACGCCACATAATCTGATGAATGACCAACAAGACTGACTGAGCTCAGCATTAAAAAGATATATTTTTGGACATTTTTAGACCCGAAGAAATCCGTGCAGCATGTCAGCCTTTATAAGTGGTAATAAAACATAGTGTTTCCAATACGAACTACAATGAAATACAATGAGTGGGAAATAAACGAAAAATTGTGATCTCATAACAATTACTGTTAAATAAACGAGCCATAACAGTTTCACATAAATTCAGAACCTTTAAAAAAATTGTTTATTATTATACAATATAATATATAATTATAATAATATATAATCTTATCATACAATCTCATGATGTATTATAATAATTATATATATACACAAATATAGTCCATCGATTCATTTCGGGAGAGGTTGAACGGATAGATGGATGAATGGATTTCATTTGGCAGCTAGTGGGTTTGTAAGAACTTTGGAAGGAATGCAATAAACACGAGAGAACAAAAAGTGAAAAATTTAATGGCTTGTACATTAAAAGTCCTGTTAAATATATCTAATTGAAGGAATGGCTGAATTGTGATATATTGCAGAAATATCTATTTTAAAGAAAACGTTTCGAGCCAAATTAATCAAATCAAATTATGGTTCAAATCAGTTTAATAAAAAAATAACATATCCTTTCATAACAATAAAAAAATTGAAGACATATTTCAGATTTAATATTCTAATTTCTAATTAGAATATTAATTTCTAATTCTAATAAATTGTTATTACAACCAATAAACAAATTTTTTTATTTTTACTGGATTTAGGTCGTTTATTTAAGACGTAAACTTATAAAAATGCTTTTTAATTATATTTTTTAATTTAATATTTTTTTATTATTGTACACTGAAGATGGTCTACGAGGTAGACCGAAATATTTGTAATATAAATAATTTTTTATAAAAATTAAAATAAAATTAAATATTTAATACAAATTAATAAGGGTAATTTTTTATTTAAAAAAACATTTTTATAAATATGTGTGAAATAAACGATTTAAGTCCAGTAATAATCAAAAAACTTATTCTAATTTATATATATAAATTCGGTTTACACAATATCGCAGAAGTGATTACAAACCATTCCTAAACAAATATTCAAAAAATGTGTGGAACATAAACGCGTTTATAATTTTATTGTACTTAAAGACCTACACAGATAATACATTTCGTAACAAAATTATAAACTCTTTTTTAAAATATTAAAATGTGGTTTTTTAAAGCACAACTTCAATAACTACCAAGGATGGCCGGGACTATGTTTTGCCGAGTTCAACGACTAAATGTCGTTCGTCACACTTAAAGAGGATTACACAGGCCGATTTATCCCTGCAGATTACAATAACTATTAAATAATATACATGAATTACACTTAGTCATAAAGGTCATGCGATTTTTTTCACATCTTGGGCAAAGAAATCATCACATAAATATTTGTCGTTAGAAAGTGATCTATATACGATTATGTATATATATATATATATGTGTGTCAATATTATGATTTCCACAAACCGCAAAAAGTTTTAGGGACAGTAAAACATACATTACTTGTGACAAGACTATATTAAAAAGTCTACATAATCTATAAGCTGTTTGAATCAACATTACCATTATCTGTAATCAAAAGGATTAAGAAAAGCATGATCAGACTACGTAAATTTATATAGCGAAATAAAGTCAATATTAAGACAATGTTTACAATAAACCTGTAATCTGCAAGTATACAAATAAAATTTTCTCAATTAGCGAATTTTGTTTAAATATTTAAGTTTTCGTATATAAACAGCGAAATTGTGATTTTTTATGGCTAAAACAAAATGCTGTATCTTTCTTTTTTTTTATCTTTTCGGTGTTTATTTTAGCTTTGCCAATTATTGGCAATCTAATTATTTTCTTGGCATTGTTTTGTTATTGAAAAGTCTTTAACACTTTTCTACAGCAATTAACTTAAATTAAATAAAACAAAATAATTTATTTATCATTCTAGAAGTACAATAATTTTCACCTACTAAGTACCAAAAACAAAACAAAACCAAAAAAAAAAACAAATTTTACAGTACAAAATGCCGTTCTACATAATAGCGCTTAAAAGCCGCTACAACAAAAAAAAATCGTTATCTCTTTCTCTCAAACTTTTTGCTACCAACTGTGGCGTGCACAACAAATATAAACATAAAAAGTTAGCAACTCGCCAGAGGATTTGTTTTGGCGATGTATGGAAGAATTTTTTATTGCGATTTTTCTTTTGAGGAGCACACATATATGTATGTATGTATGTTATACACAAGCGGGCACAGAAGCAAGCCAGCGTGCACATTGTCAGTTTCATGTGTGGTCGATATGCGGTTTATGGCCAATATAAAAACTCACTTGCTTGATAGAATTGAGATTAGCGACTGTAGGTGGGAAAGTGTGTGCAATAATCGCTATCACTTAATTAACTTTTTTTTTTCTTAATTTATACACATTGGTTGTTACTCTTGATTTTACTATTTAATATTAAGTATTTATTTATTTTTAATGTCTTTTAACGCCCCAATTTATTGCCAAAAAAAATGACCAACAAAATAAGATTTGTGCATTGAACTCTTTTTTTTTTACGTCCTATTTTATTTTGGCGCGCTAACATATGTTACCAAAAATCTTTGGCGGCAGCAATTATTTTTTTTAAATATTAGATAAGTATTTTATATAAACAATTTACCTTTAAAGAAAATGTTATATTATTGACGAACAGTTAAAATTTTCAAACATTTAAAAAAAATATTTTTACACACATTTTTTTTAAACACAGTTTCGATATTCCGTTAGTTACACTTTTTACATTTATTTTTTATTTGCTTTGATATATGATCAATCTTTGAATTTTACAATTTAAAAATGTTAATAATTTATTTATTTATTTAACTATCCTCGCTGGTTGTGCAGTAACCACTAAAGCCAATTAATAAACTTGGCTAAAATGAAATTGTTTTTATATATTTTCAACGAATCAACGAAAACACATGCGGCATTATGCCATCGACCAAACACAACTGTTTGAAAGAGCATCGAACATTTTTAAGAAAGCCAAACACTGCAAAGAATTAACTTGTATGTTGTATGATGTTCCCTACAACAGAAATAATATGCAATAAAGTAGTAGATGACTACTGCATTTCATATGCCATTGTAATGTTTAAAAACATTAATAATATTTAAATATTTTTATATAACATTACTTTCATTATATTATCATAAAATTATTAAAATCATTAGATAATTATTTATAATATTACAATATTAATAATATTACAACATATATAGAGTCAAAATTCTATAACTCGAAGTACCATCTTGCAAAGAAAAGATTTGACTTATGAAGACTTCGAGTTAAAGAATTTTTTTTATTTTATTTATGTATATTATGTATATATTTTTATGTATATTTTTAAAAGAAACTAGAATTACATTTCAAGATATTTATTTATTTGCAATCAAATACAGAACAGAATTTATAATGAAGTGAAGAAACACGCAGAAATTAGGGTTTGGGACTTTAATTCTTTTTTCTTATTTCCAGTAAGAAAAAGATTCCAATTTATTTTAAGCCTTATAGTGATCATCAATTGGAGAATCGTTCATTTGTAAATAAAAATTCAGAATTTTGAATGAATTTTTTACTTCATTCTTGGAAAGCTGATGAATAATTTTATTCACCGTGCCGTCAACATCACTTTCCGTTGCGTTTAGGACATGTGTGAGTTAGGCTAAGTTGATGCTAAACCAAATGGGAGATTTTTTAGGATTTTTTGCACTGAACACATTTAGCCATTTATCAACACGTATCGACACATCACTATATTATCGGCACAACTTAGAATTTCCCTCATTTAGAACGCAACTTAGCCTAACTCGCACACGACCTAAGAGTAGCATGGAAGTTATGTTATTTACATTAAACCAGCGGCCAGCGGCTGGCATTTGCACAATGAAGCAACATAAGAAAAAAAAATTAAATATTTGGTTTGGAAATAGGGGACTTTCCCTAACACCAAAATAGATTCATACTAAAAACAAAAATTCAACTTATAGAACACACTCTCCCACATTCCTATTGGCACGTGACAATATTTTTATTTGAGTTATAGAGAAATTCAAGTTATAGAATTTGCTCTTTATGAGGATTTATTTTATAAATCAATTTTAATTTTCAAACCAATTTTAATTTTTTAAACCAATTTTATAAATCAAAAATTTATAAATAAATAAATATGTTTAAATTTATCCTAAAACATAAAATAATACTTATGTATTTTTAAAATAAAACGTTAGATGAGACTTCCTTCTAAAGATCTGTTACCTCTTAGTAACTTTAAGTTCATTAATTTTTATCTTAAAAATTATCTTAACGTTTTGTAAAATACAGCATATCCATTTGGAGAGTATTCCGATAGTACAAGAAGCGAGGTATCTATAATATACGTTATCTTTTCCCTTCTTCTTAACAAAACAGCGGTAAAGCGCTTTAATCGTTCTCTCAATAACTGCGACAGAAATCATTAAATGGGAAGTTCATTCTTCTGGCATGGTTCCCAAATCAGCTGTGAGCCATCAGCAAAACTGCCACAAGACTGATATATTTACGGGAAATCTCTATGAGAATGCTGGACTTTTTTGTTCAGGTGGACTTGCTTACAGCTGCTGCATATCGTTGAGTCTTTTCATCCTTTATTTAATTGCTCCATGTATAAACACTATAAATGTATATTGGTTCTTCTCATCTTTTATTTAATTGCTCCATGTATAAACACTATAAATGTATATTGGTTCGACTTTTTTTTACACAAACAAATAAGAATGTTATTGTATAGTGGCAGCTTATAATGTTTGCCTATTAGTTAATATATTTTTAAAAGCTGGTGGCTGATATTTTCTTTTTATAAATATACGTTTCTTTCATGTAAGCATAGTATATAATTGTATGTCAAAATATATTATTAGAAATTATTATTCTTTGTTAATTATATTTATTAAGAATGAAATACATTTTAAATCAAACGAGTATTAAGTTCAGTTTAAATTATAGTGGGTTTTCATAGTTCAAAAAAATATTGAATTAATTTGACTATTATTTGAATGTCACATAATTTACTTTACCCAGCGTTTACACTGGCTAAAATTTGGCAAGATTATTTCACACATTTTCACAAATTTTTAAAAATAAATTCATAAATTTTGAAAATAAAAATCTTGCCAAAATATAGTCATTGTACACGAAGACAGAAATTTCATGCGATAAGTAGCATGAGAGAAATTGCATGCTAGACATCAGAGATAAAGAATTAAAATTTTAAATTCCAATAAATAATTTAAAATTTATATAATAAATGATTTTTGTAAACAAATGATTTTAATTATGATTATATAACATAAATTAAATTTAATTCCCATATGTTTCCTATATGGTAACTCCACAATCTCACAATATATATTTGACATCTACTCTTTCATTGTTTACTTTTGTGTGCGTGTAAATTGCAGAAACTTATGTGTTTCTTTTAAATTTTAATTTGTGTTAATTTATTTTTTATGACAAGTTTCACATTTCATTTAAATATATTTTATGTGAAAATGCTTACAACAACCCTTTTTCTACACTTAACTATATTCATTCCCTATTTAGTTGTAGCTGATAAAATTTCAAAACCACAAGCAGCAGAACTGCCTTGTGCCGAAATAAAACGATATGAAATTGAACAACATTTATCAACAAAAACACCATATCGTGTTGTGGCTAATTTGAATGATAAACCAATAAGTTTTCCCGGTAATTTATTTTTCAAGTATTTTAATTTCAATTATATTTCATAATCTTTTGTTTATTTTTTTATTTTTCTTTGCTTTTTTTCTATTGTTTCCCATTCTTTTTTAAGGATGCCACCCAACACGTATTTGGTCTGTCATAAGGCATGGTGCTCGATATCCCAGTAGAGAGGTAATCGAAGCAGCGCAGTCCAAGCTAATGAAATTAAAAAACAATATTTTAAGTAATACAAAAGTAAAAATTTGTACTGAAGAACTAGATCGTTTAAAGTATTGGAGATTTAATGTTAGCACAAAAGAAGAAAAGTTTTTAGTTGCAGAAGGGGAAGATGAGTTGATCGAATTGGCGGAAAGAATGCAAAATCGTTATCCGAATTTATTACCTGATGTGTATGACGAAAATCTATTTTATTTTAAGTATACTGCAACTCAAAGAACGTTAAGGAGCGCCAATAGCTTTGCTACGGGATTATTTGGCAGACATAGAATAAGTGATATAAAATATCCTGTAGCCATGCATCGGGATCCAGTTCTTAGGGTAAGTGTTTAAATTGTTAATTCATTTTATTTTTTGAGTAAATTTTAAATAAAGCTATTGTTTATTTAACAATAATTATAGCTATACGCAATTTATGATATTAGGTCGTGTGCGAGTAAATTAAATAGTAAATTATGTCGGTATGGCTGTGAATGTTGGTATTCACCAGAATTTCGAGTAGGGTAAATTATATAAAAATTAGCTGTTACCAAAAATAATAAATAAGTACAATAAATAAGTAAATAAACATTTACATAAGTGCAGTGCAAAAATTCTTTAGGAAATTTCAATTTATTTTACCTCAATTTACCTAAACTCGCAAACGGCCTAAATAGCAAATGCACAAATTTACTTCTATTCTTTCAATCACTTGAGTTTGTTTTTGATGTAAATTTTTATGTATTCAGTAACTACATAAAAAAAAAAATTAAAATTAAGTGCTCAGTGCTGCTTTTTTGTTTGATATGGCAGCACTAACAATGTCGCATAATATTGGTTCGTTTTGAAAATGGCAAATGTCATAAATGAAAGTGTCTGAAAAATGTTGCTGCGTATTTTTCACGTTAACGTGGTATTTTATAAAAATTAGTTAGTGCTGTTTGTGTGATTGCTTCAATTAAGTTTATTTAATGAAGATAATCAAAGATATAAAATATATTGCGAACTAATAAAATGATGAAGTAAACAATGAATAACAAATAAAAAAATCTAAGTGAATTTGTGGTTATGTCCATCCAGGTTGGAAAGCAAAACCGACGGATGCAGTCTGCATTATTAAAAAACGTATAGACGTATTCAACATTCAGTCCTAATACAGAATGTTTGTTAAATAATAACGTTTCGACTGCAGCAAAACTAAATTAAATGCTTGTTGGTCCCCATAGTTGGGACTCCCACCTCTCATAACTTAATCGCTTAGAATCAAAAGAAGTAATAATGTTTGAATCACATTATATAAATGCTAATGTAGCATCTGCTAATTCAGCACGTAACAGTAGTATGCATGAATCTAGTACCAGTGGTTGCATAAGCACTGCTTTTGCATCGGCAAATGATTCTATGGATGGTTCCAGTCTAATGACAAAATCTACACATTCGTCAAGTAGCCGAAAGACTTCTACATGCGATGCACAGCAATTGCCAGCATTATTACAACAATTAGCTAATGGTACTTTTGGTATTAATGTACTAGACCAGCAGTGTCCTCTATGTTTTCAAGCAAAACGGCATGTTGAAAAAATTGAAGAAATGTCATACGAGCGGCAGTCTTGGCGTATACGGGAACGTATGAAAACTGCAAGTGTAGCGTTAGTACTTTGTTTAAATATTGGAGTTGATCCTCCAGATGTAGTTAAAATACAGCCTTGTGCACGTCTTGAATGCTGGATTGATCCATCATCTGTGTCGGCACCAAAAGCAATGGAACTAATTGGAGCAAATTTACAAATGCAATATGAACGCTGGCAACCCCGAGCGCGTTATAAAAAATGTCATGATCCCACAGTAGAAGATGTGAAAAAATTATGTACATCACTAAGAAGAAATGCAAAAGGAGAACGAATACTTTTTCATTATAATGGTCATGGTGTACCTATGCCAACGGCTAATGGAGAAATTTGGGTGTTCAATAAGACATTTACACAATATATTCCACTAAGTATATTTGAACTACAAAGTTGGATGGCCGCCCCCTCAATATATGTATATGACTGCTCTAACGCGGGCATTATAATTAACTCGTTTCAACAGTTTGCAGAACAACATGAACGAGATCTAGAAAAAGCAATTGCTAATGCACCTGGACAACGAGTAGCACCCAGTCCTCCAGATGGTCAATCAGCACCAGTTAGCTATAAGAACTGTATACATTTGGCTGCCTGCTCTGCAAATGAAATATTACCAATGAATGCACAGTTACCGGCAGACCTTTTCACGTCTTGCCTAACCACACCTATAAATATTGCTCTTAAGTGGTACACACTGCGTAGAAAATTGGATTTAGGACCGCGAATTCAAGCGGATTTAATCGATAAAATTCCTGGCAAGGTTAATGATCGTAGAACTATGATGGGTGAATTAAATTGGATTTTTACCGCTATAACTGATACAATTGCTTGGAATACATTGCCTCGCGATCTTTTTCAACGTTTATTTAGGCAGGACCTACTTGTTGCTAGTTTATTCCGAAATTTTTTACTAGCAGAAAGAATATTTCATTCACATGATTGTTCACCAATTTCACATCCAGCACTTCCACCTTGCTTTCGTCATCCTATGTGGCGGGATTGGGATTTGGTAGTTGATCTGGCATTACAACAATTACCTGGAATTTTAGAAAAAGGTGCTCCATATCGTCAGCTACCATTCTTCGAGAGACAATTATCTGCATTTCAAGTGTGGTTAGAACTCGAGTCTGAATCACGTTCGCCACCAGAGCAATTGCCAATTGTTCTGCAGGTACTTTTATCGCAAGTACATCGTTTGCGTGCATTAGAATTACTTGCACGGTTCCTGGATTTGGGTCCATGGGCGGTAAATTTGGCTCTGGGCGTTGGAATTTTTCCTTATGTACTTAAATTACTACAAAGTTCAGCAAAAGAGCTACGTCCAGTTTTAGTATTTATTTGGGCAAAAATTTTAGCAGTTGATTTCACATGTCAAGTAGATTTAGTTAAGGATCATAAATATTTCCTTTCGGTACTGCAAGATACAACAATTTCAAAAGAACACCGCACATTATCAGCTTTTATACTGGCATGTATAGTAAAAAATTTTTTGTTAGGACAAACCAGTGCGCTTCAAGGATCACTTGTTTCAATTTGCTTGGAACAATTAAATGACGATAGTTGGTTACTACGTCAATGGCTAGCAATTTGCTTAGGTAAGAATTCAGTATATTTTTTTACGAAAATTATTTTTATTAAATATTTTTTTTTTTAATTTATATATTAGGTATGCTATGGCAAAATTTTGAAAAAGCGCGTTGGTCCGGTGTCAGAGATTTGGCTCATGAAAAGCTTTACGCCCTTCTAAAAGACGCTATACCAGAGGTACGCGCAGCTGCTGTGTTTGCTCTGGGAACATTTATCAGTTCTGTAACAGATCGTTCAGAAGATCATGCGAACAATATTGATCGCATCATTGCAATCACATTATTAGAGACTGTTGGTGAAGATATGTCACCTCTTGTACGGTTGGAATTAGCCTCTGCATTGCAATGGATGGTGCTTTTGTTTGAATCACAATTTGTTACAGTCTATATGAATATGAATACACCATCATTAGCTATGGCAGAGACAGCATCAAGTGAACGTAGTGCCAGCATAACACATGGCATGGTTGGTGCCCCTAGCCCACCTACTTCTACACATCACTCAACACATAGCTTAGAACGACACGTTACAATGAGACGCGGAGTAAGCTCAAGCTCAATATCAAACATGTCCTCAACAACGATCGCTTTTCAAACCATATTCCTTAAGTTATGGCAAGGCATTTACAATTTAGGACATGATCCATTTCCAAAAGTGGCTGAAACAGCACAAAAAATAATTGCATATGTACGTGATGCTGCTTTGTGTTTAATTACTGCGAAAGAGGCTACGTCCGCTGAAAAATGTATTAGTTTAAGTGTCAGTTTACCACCAAGTCCAAATACTCGAGTAAATTACTTAAGTAGTGAGTCCCCGCCAGTAAGCGTTACACAAGCAGGTCAACACAGTGCTAGCAATTGGGCTGCTAAATTAAGAAATAATGCACTTATAGGAGGACCAATGGCTTCGAATGACCCTCAAACGGTCTTACAGCGAAAATTACGCACAACTTCAATGAACGATGAAACGGATAGCGCACCTGCGACAAGTAGCGGAATAGGAGTGAATTTAAATAATACAACTGGAGCAGCGGGTGGGGATGGCAGTACATCTGCACGCAGCAGTACAAGTGACAATAACTATGAACACAAGTCACAAAAGCTAAAACCAATTGTTACTACAGAATTCATACCATGGGCGATATCGTATTTTACACGCCCAGGTAAAAATCGGTACACAACTGATGCGGGTACTGAAAATCAACAAGTTTTTCCTGCCGATGATAATTCGGTGGAATTGCGTACACGCCAATATCGATTTTTGCGTAATACACAAATACGTAGTCATGGAAAAAATCAGCAGTCCAATTCCCTACGTATCGATACACAAAGTTGGCTTCGAAAAACACAATTTACACCATCTATCGTTAAACTACTGCCTTATGAAAGTCAAATTGCTGTTGCTTATAAAGAAAAAGTTTCTATTTATGACTGGAATCGAAATACAGTTCGGTGTTTCACTGTAGCTACTTCAACTGCATCACGGAAAAATACGACTTCCTCTTCACCACCTGCGCATACACAACAGATTGTAGCTGCACGAGTAAGTGCAATAGAGTTCCTAAATGCGCAAGATGTTGGACTAGTTTTAGTAGGACATGATGACGGAGTTATTAGAGTATGGCAACCATATGCAGATGAGAGCCGGGAGTCAAGATTAGTTACCGCGTGGGAAGGTTTACCATCTATACGTGCACCATATACAAGTTCCTATAGTGGCATTAGTACTACTAGTACTACTACAACTACTTCTAGTAGTACTAAGCAGCGAAGAGATATGTCAAATACAGGTGTTGTTACCGCTTGGCAGCAATCTACTTTACAATTGGTTGTTGGCGGCGGAACGAGTCGCTTTTTGCGCATATGGGATGTTGAACGAGAGCTCAAACTAAGTGATTTACTCATTGGTAGTGATACAAATGTGCGTGTATTATCACCATTTCCATGCAATTTGCGCAGCGACTTGATAGCTGCAGGTTGTGCTGATGGTAGTGTACGTCTATTTGACAAGCGCTGTGCTTCGCAAGAGTCACGGATACGTGTTTATCGCGAACATACAAATTCTATACTAACCACGTGTTTAAGAGATAACCAAACTACATTAATAACAGGCTGTAGTCAGGGCAAGATGTGTGTAATTGATATGCGCTCACGTGCACCAACTGGGGTGCTGCATCAATGGGATGGGGGAAATGATGTTACAGCATTAGCTTGCCATCAATCAGCAGACGCTATAGCATGTGGTAGTGCACATAAAATAACAATATATAATCAAAATGGAAAAGCACAAAGTGTGTTAAGAAGTAATGAAGGTTTTATGGGTTCTAAAGTGGGCCATCCCACATGCTTATCATTTCATTTATATAAAGTTTCAATTGCCGTAGGATTTGTTGATAATACAGTCGCTGTTTATGAACCATCACCAGGTATTGTTAAGAGTTAATCAAATAATCTTTTTTAATTATTAATATTCTAGTTTTATAATTATAATTTTAATAATTATTTAAGTAAATAATAAATAAAAACAATAACTATTTAATTACTATTATATTATAACTTTTTGCAGTTTTATAAACTCTGTGATCGCTGGAAAATGGACGTTGATAAAAATCCGGCTATATATGACAATGTGAATAAGTTCTTGCAAGGAACAGAAATAAAAAATGCTATTAATTTTATAAAACAAAAAATGCAATTACAAACAATTACCGCTGAAGATGTCAGACTTATTTATACAATTTGTGCTTTTGAAACGGCTTGGGAACGTCGTAAGCCTCCATCGGTTTGGTGTAATTTTTTTAATCGCGTAACCATAAAAGCACTTGAATTTGCCGAAGATTTGGAATATTATTGGAATGATGGATATGGTTATAATATAACTTATAAAATTGCGTGCCCTGCTATTATTGATCTCTTTAAATTTATTGAGTAAGAAAACTATTATTATTAAACAGCAAGTAAATAATTTAATTATTATTATAGTCCAAATTCAAATAAGCCAAATGCCACATTTTATTTTACACATTCTGGAACTTTGTTAAAAATGTTGGCACATTTGGGACTCTACAAGGACGATAAACCTTTGACATACAAAGATTTCAATAAGAAGAGATTGTGGCGCACGAGTTCCATTGATGCATTTGCAACCAATCTAGCATTTGTTTTATATGAGTAAGTATATGTTACATATAATAAGTAAAAAGAATAGCTTTGCTATTTTTTTGTTATGCAATTATACTTCAAGTAGTCGTTCAATATAACGAATATCCAATTTAACGAATGACAAAATAATGCCAATGACTATTTTACTGTAGAAAATCACCGTATTAACGTTTTTTATGTTAAAATATATTAAAATAAATTTATACATATATTGAAATATAAACAAAGCCATTTTTACAATAATTCATTTAAAACGATACTTCATAACAGTCTTATTAAAAACACGTTTCATAATGAATTAAATATTATTCACATTTTTATATATTTTCATTTTTCGTTTTAATAGATGTGAAAAGAGTGAACCAATGGTTTTAACACTTCATCAAGAACGTCCGGTACGAATTCCTGGTTGTCCAAAGAAGGGCGATGAACTATGCAGTTTAAAAACATTGCAAAAAATATTTGCTAGCAGCTTGGAAAATTGTGATTTTCAAAATATTTGTAAAATAGAGCGCTAAAGGAGGCAAACACAAAGCATTAGGAGTATTATAAATCGTCTATATATCTGACTAATTCGTTATATTACTCACGTTGGTGAAATATACCAGCATGTTTCTTGCAAATTGTCATATAGCTGATTTGAATTTTTATAATTAATATAATATTAACAGCGGTAAAATTGTACAAATAAACGTATACACAAATAGGTTCATATAAGAACCTAACCGAAATGCCTACGAAATTAAATAGTATGCAATTTTATATATTAAATTTATACAATATATTGCTATATATATATGTGTGTGTTAAGTAATGCGTATATTCTATAATATAATTTTTGTTGTATTTTAAACGAATTATAATTAAAACCGTAGATGTAAAAAAGCGCTTTAGACGCCAAGATTATTAAATTAAGATGCTTTAAAAGATTATGCATTAAATCACCTGCTTATAATGGTAATTAGCACTATTGTATATATATTTATAAAAATTTTTTGTATATTAAGCTAATTGAAAGATTATAATTGACAAGATTAATTATTTGAGAAATCTATTTTTTTTTATTTCAATATTATGTTAATATTGTTGTTGTTATATTACTTTATGGAAGTAAATTAAATATTGAAATATTAAGCTACTTAACACATTCAACGTAATTTAAAAGAGAATAAGAATTATAAAATTAATCAATTTAAAACATTAAAAAGGCATACAATTGATTGTGCTGAAATTAATCACCATGCGTTTTTCATAAATTATATTAATTTAATATTAAATGTAGCTTTTCTAATAATGTAAAATGTAAATTGTATAATTTTTTTTTGCTATTATTTAAGAAATGTAATTATTTATGTAAAATTAAATGGGGGAAATTAAGAAAAAGAATATATTATTTTATGAACGTATTAATTTATATTACAATGTGTATGTTGTTAGGAACATATAATTAAATAATAATTTGTTTACGTGCAAATAAAAACAATTTAACCATCTTTAAATTAAATATTCATTTATAAAATTTTCATTAACTAAGACTAGAAATGGTTTATTGGTATCACAATTTTTAATTAACTAAGACTAGAAATTCTTCATTGGTATCACAATGGGACTGCTATTATAATTATAATACACAACGTACTTAAGTATTTAGTTTAACTTATGATTTTAGAACAGTTTAATAGAACAAAAATTTATACAAAAATAAATGATTTTATATGTAAATAAATATGTTATTACAAACATAATGGCAATTTGCATAAGTGCACTAAAATAATAAGATTACGGAAAACTTAAGCAGCCTATAAACAAAATACTTAAGAATTGCGAATGTGTAATGTAATAATATTTGATGCACCATTTTAAATATATTAAGCATTTTTTAGAGTATATTTTTCTCTGAAACCTGTAATTAATTTTGAAAAACAATACTCTGACTTGGACTGCATCAATCGTGAAATGTTATTTTTAATAACATCTAATCAAATAATACGACATTCAGCTTTTGGTCATCAAATTCTTTTAAAGACTCTCCTGGCCCCATGAACGGCCGGGTCTACGTCCTGGAGCCACTCGTCAACCACAACGACCAAGTGCCGTTCACCACCCCTCAATAGGATTTTACAAGACATCCCAGCGGTTTACAACAACAACGACATATATGCCTCTGATATAGGTTTTCTATATAAAGATATCAGCATTTCGTTCAGAGGCACTAATAGATAGATATAATTTCAACATAAATAGAGATTCTTCAGAAAACTATTTATAGCAGTTTAATGCAGTTTATTGAGTTCAGTTTTTGAACCATTAGAAGTTTTTAATGTTTTGAAACACTATAATCGAAATTTGAAATGTACGATATTACTTAGGATGTTAAAATATATTTCCGTCTGAATATAAAATAAAACCTTCATGACGAAAATATTTTTTCGATTTTATGCTTAAATGCTTTGAAATGTAAATATGAAAATATCACTTACTTTCACTCTCAAAATTATTTTTAATAATTTTATTTCATTGGCCAACTTTAAGTGTTCGTGAAGACTGAGAGAAATATGTTCAACGCTATGAATATAATATTTCAAAATATATAATCCGAATTGGATAAAGTTTATGGAGACTGCAACCATAAAAAGTTTCCGTGAATTTTATATGCTATAGTAAAATGGCAATGGGCTGACTTTATATGTGATTGTAACCAGCATAGTTCAATAAGAGCATTCGGTCAGACAAAAATTATCGTTACTGATGAAAATAATCAATCAAATGAAATATAAATCACAGAATTTGCTGAAGCTTATAATGTTTTGCTTAATATACCTATTTAATTAAATTTGAAAAATATTGAAATAATGTAGGTTTAAGTGCTCTGCATGTTGGATGCTGCATTTGTTGCAGCGTAGCAGCTCTAATGCTCTTTATTAACAGTTTATGCAAAACAAAGTGGACCTTTTGTACAAATTTATTAATGTTGATAAAATATAGATCCACAGGTACCCAATACAGACCAAACAACGCTTTCACGCAAGTGATTCGCTACTGTAGCTCTGCATCATGAAAAAGAATTAATTAACTGGGATTTAATCGTGATTTAATCCTCTCTGCTCTCGTGTAGTTCGAGTTATTTTCGTTTTCAAGGCTCTAAGAACTCGTTACATAGCAATAACCACAGAATAATCAAATCAGTGGATTGATAAAGCCAAAATAGAAAAAGATATTGTTATACGAAAATATTGTGGCTATTGCTTTATGCGATGGCAAGGACTTTTGGTTGATTAACGACTATAAGTTGTACACTACAGTGTGTAAAGCATACTATATGATATAACTAAATACAATTCATCGTATTCACCGGAAAGCAAAAGAAATATAGACATATTTCACCAAGATAATGAAGCAGCTAACACTTCTATTGTCGTTATAGCTCTCAATAAATACTGTTTTTACAAGTTGAAAGTTTTTTCAAAATGTAGAATTTAGAGAGTGTCTCTGCCTTTAATGGGTATTTTGAGGACTTTTTTGAGTCATGCCATGCACAATCTTGATAAGTTAAGAAGGTTGATCCATCATATTCAATCAAGAAGAAATAAAAACAAAGAATCAACGACCAAAAACCTTTATTTCTATATTAAGCTCAAAATTTTTTGAACACCTGTATCATGCATCTAATGGCTACGGTAGCCCTTATTGAACTAAAAAAAGATTAGCGTGTTGTCAGATAATTACAGTAATTAAAAAAAATTTTATCCTATTGGTCATGAGGTATTCTTATTGAATATTATATATATATATAATCTTTCGATTTATTTCCTGGGACTTCCGTCCTTTAAGCCTGCTAAGTACTATTAGGTCTATTGAGTTAAGATGGGACTTATAATACACTGAGTCCTTACCTAGTTGGAACACTTGTTATGCTGTCTTTTAACCGTCAATGGTATTAACATAGGTCAGTCATCATTAGTACTCTGTAGTATCACATGAAAATGTTACAAAATATTTTGTTTTGCTGTAAAATGAAAATTTTGAGAATTCGATAGAACGCAGGCGCCATTTTGGTTCTTTTTTGTTGAGAGAAGTTTTTGTCAATTTTCACAAAATCGAAAATTTCAGTTGTAGTTTAGTTTTCAAAGGAAATTGTTGCATTTATTTCCTATTTTTTTTTATTTGATAACAAAATTAATCAAAAATATTAACGCATATTTAAAAATTAAAAAAAAAACTATATATCATAAAATATTTTGAATATGTTTTAAAGTAAATAAAAACTGAAGTTTCTATTTTTTTTAAATTGATATGAAAAATTTTCAATGTTAAATCAAGAATCAAAAAGTCTCAAGAAAAAAATTAGGAATCACCTGATTCTGTGTGTGGATAGAAGAGACTCCGAGCAACAACATCAATACCTCAACGTAATCCTGTTTGTGCTCTGTTGAAAGACGGATGAAAGGCAGTTAGTTGCATGACCCAGTTTCCGGAGACCCACAAAGACGCTTTCAATTAATATCATCTTTATTTTTGTTGACAAAGGAGAAATTTTAATGCATAGTAAACATTTCCGATATTGAAAATATCCGTACACATTAACCAGCTGCCAGTCAGTGAGTTGTAATGTGGAAGCCAAAAAAATCTCAGAAATTAATTAGATTTGAATTGGAAAAGTGACGAAATTAATTTATAAAAATTCTTTTTGATTTGCTAACTACAATTTGATTTAATTACCATAAGAAGGAGAATATCACAATCACAAAATCACAAACTTCGTAATGGATTATTGGTGCTATATCTGTATATTCTTCTTGACGCCCATTATACTATTGTATATTTTGTTCGAACTCCATTATTTCCTAAGAATGTGCCTTTGTGTTTTTTTGGCGCGTTTCGTCAAACGGAAATGTCATATTTTAGAGACTACTATAGTTTCAGGTAAGTGAAATCAAAAGGTATATAATTATTCTAGAAAAATTGAATTTTATTAGTAAAGCACTTAGAATTTATGTCGATTTTCGGTCTTGCTTACGTAAATTTTTTTTCTATACTCATGCAAGGGCAAATAGCTAAGCGATGTCTTTTATATTTAGCTGCTTTCTGTCTGTCATTTCTGTGTACCTCCTTAGACTCTTAGCCACCCTTTCTTACCAACAAGTTCAAGGCAACTAACTACCTACTGACAATAACCGGTGTTGAAAGTTTTTATTCTTTTCGTTTTGCATACATTTATTCTATTGGTGCTTGGGGGAAGTAGTAATGTGAAGGCTTCAAACAATTCCATATGTGGGATTATGATATATAAATTGGCAACCTAATGGCTTGTAATGTGACACCATTCAAATATTAATGGCGACAATAATGAAATTTGTTAATACATAAAAAAGTGTTCAAACTGTGTTAAATTGATTGCAAAAAAAAAAAAATTGAAATCCATTTATTTAAATATAATAGTTATTGGGGCTGAGTTAAAATGAAGAATTCAAATAGTAAAAAAAAGGAAAAAATCATCAGTTGACAGAAACTTGAGAGAAAAGATTAATGTTTTTATAGCAAATTGCTTTATATTTTTTTAAAATGAAGAAAATAATTGGCTTAGCAAGATAAAAAGGTGTTTGATTTCAGGATATTTTAAAAAAACAAAATTTTTAAAATCAGTAGGAACCATTCTCCTCTTTGACAGTTTAGATGGGTAGTTTGAATTTCGAAATGGCGAACATATTATTAAATATTTTGTTTATGGAAATTTATTATAAAGTAAAGGATTATGCTAGTCATTCTTAAGTGCATATAAAAGCAAGAAAAAAAAAATCGAAAAAAAACAATTATATATTTTGTAGGAAGTTGGGACACCGCACCGTCCATCAAGTGGCCCCACTGAATTGAAGGATTAGCCAAAGTAGACCACGAAGCGACTTGGGTCTTTTTTCGTTTTTCGATTCTCGGATGTCGTTATTATGTTAAGCTAAAGTTGCTTCCGTTCGCATAACTACATCTCTTCTTATTGCAAGCAGCTCATTTAGCTAGAGGTTGGCTGCAAAGTCATCACCAACCCAATGGTGTCCCAAGACAGTCATCCCATAAATGATTTTTAGATTGCTTAAATTAATATAATAAAAGAAAGATACAAAATAGAAATAAAAAAACAAATTTAAATCTATGTACTCTCACTGAACTGAATGACGTCTGGAGTCATACTTTGAATTATTTTACCTTTTGAGAGTTTCTCCAGATCAGCTTAGGAGATTTTCTCAAGGTATTAGCTTAGGGAACTTCCTCAAGGGATGGCTAGTAGTATACTTAAGGAATGACATGCAATTTATCTGTCAAAGTAGGAATTTAAAATAATTATCAACAATAAGAGATATAAATTCTTATATAGTAAATGTTGTCTATAAACATTTTTACATATTAAGATACCGGGAAAATAACAACGAATAGGAAACCTCCATCACAGTCTTGCTTCGATAGATATAGTTTCATACTGCAGAGAAGCTTAATTAGGCTCTCTAGAAGCATCCGAGACATTTGTGCTTGTTATTTTTATAACGGGAAACTTTGGACTTAATATTTTATTTCTAAATTCATTCTCATATAGTTGTATTCACAGATTTAAAATAGGGTAAATCTAAGTCAACATATTTCAAAAGATGATGTGATTTCTAATTTTAGCTATAGGTATCATCTATAAATATTGATCTAATATGCTAATTTAAATCAGTTTTCAATATCTAGTTTTATGTAAATATTTTTTTATATTGTATTACGACTTTTTTAGTTATCTTAACACATTTTTATATCATTATTTGAGACTTTTCGTTTCGTTTTAGGAATATGTCTTACCAATGATATAGATACATTACTTTATCATATGAACAACGCAAGATACCTTCGCGAATTGGACTTTGCTCGAGTTGATTTCTATGAAAGAACGAATCTATACCGCACAATCGTTGCGAAAGGTGGTTCGGTATATCAAGGTGCAGCTACAATACGTTATCGTAGGTTTATAAGACCGTTTCACAGATTTCACATTAAATCGAGTGTGAGTTTAATATATTTTAATATAATACTAAATATTTTGTTTGACAACTCATCTTTTTAATTTGCTTAATATTTTACAGATAGTATATTGGGATAATGAATCTGTTTTTATGGAGCATAAGTTCCTAAGACCATCTGATCAATTTGTGCATTGTATTGCAATTTGTCGTCAGCGAATTATAGACTGTTCGGCTGAGGATGTCATGGCCGAACTTTTAGCACCGAAAACCGCACAGATAGAAGCTTTAAACAATACTGTTAGTTCCACAATTAGCCTAGAAAATGCAATTGTCACCACCAATATTGATGAGGCGGAGCGTGGTCAAGTGCGTGTAAAATTAAAACCAGATATACCGCCAGAGATTTCCAAATGGATGGAATATAACGATTTATCGAGCAAAAGACTGCGAAAATGTTGCTGATGCTTGTTGCTCTTGTGATGATAGAAGTAAATACTATATTTTTGGTAAACTCCCAAAAAGGGTTTGATAATTGAAAAATTTGATATTTATTTTTGTGAAATGTTATTATCATGTGAATGTATGTGAATATGTATTTTAATCAAAGGTAGAAAAATATATACATATAAGTGTTTTTTTTTTGGTTTAATTGGTTAAACGTGTGAGTAGCTTTTTATGGTATTTTTACATCTTCTACAAGTTAGGAAGGACAGCAAGTTTAAGCATTCATGATAGTGAGAAGCGTTGAAGCATTAAACAAGATATGATAGTTGTTTTAGATGACTGCAAAAAATAATCAATTAATTAATTATAAATTCGATTTTTAAATAATATTTTATTTTTATTACCACATATATCATAAAATCAAGATGTTATTAACATATACATATATAGAATACGATCTGTTGTAAGCTTTTTTCTCTACAACGTAAAAGTGACGATAGTTTAGAATATTATAAGGATATTGCCGATGTCGTATAAGTTACCCAGCAACCGAGTAACATAGTAAAAGTTCAAAGCAAAGAGTAAAAAGGCAGCAACATAAAATGCATTGCCAGTACATGTATTTTGTTGTTGGGCCATAACAGTGTTGTCATGTTAAGCAATTACCGAGATCGTGAATAACCTTAATTATATAATGCTGTGATATTTGCATAAGAGATAAGGATAAGATGTGACTGAAAACAAATTATAAAAATTAATGGTTAAACGTGAAGCTCAAAAACCATATGAAGAGTTCAATTAAATGAATCTATAAAAAGAAGAAATATTTTCTATACAATAGTAAAAGCGTGCTTATTTTTAGTTAAATAAGCATTAAAACTTTCATTGTTAAACAAAATATTGATTATATAAACTTTAGAATATATAACTATCCATGGTAAATAACAAAATTAAAAACTGTTTTGGGATCTATACCAACAGAAGAAATGCAGTTATTAGAAGATATAACGACCGTTTGACTAAATAATCTTGTGCACTTTTATGATCCAAATGAAAATGTTTGAAAAACTGGGAAATATTGAAATCAGTGGCATATTCGATGGTGGAAATTAGGAGATAGTTCAAGAGCGAGGTCTGGAAAATATTATACATAATAGAGAAATTTAGTAACCTCCAAAAAAACTGCTGAATAATATTTTTCAGTATGTCCCCCTTAGTAAAATCTTAGCTGTTCCATTAATTGAGATACTAGGAGATATTGAGAAACTAAGAGCAAATTAAAAGAATTCAGGAACAAATACACTAAAGAATAACACCAAAATATGCAAGTAAATAAGAAAGGCTATAATAAATTTTTGTAGTGAAGATTATATTTAATTTATGAATTCACTAGCTGACCCGACGGACGTTGTTTCCCCTTGTAATTAATTTCCCTGATCCGCTGAGTAATCATATTTATTGCTATTTCCATATCTGTGTAGCTAAAGAGATTGTCAGATCTATCCATGAAAGAAGTAATCCATGTTTAGAATTTAATCACATAATTCTAAGCATAAAGCCTAAACAATGTTAATAGCGTTTATGTTATTTATGTTTTTAGCCTATGTTACGTCTAAAAACTATATAAATATGATCTGAGAGTATCACGGATTAGTTAAATCATCAAAAAGTTATTAAGCAACGAACAGACGAACAAACGATTATATATAATCTATAAAATGAAAATTTATTATGATACGCGTTTTAGCTTGATTGTTATTATTATAAGAGATATATTAATGCTATCACAAGTGAGGGCATCTTAAATTAATGCAAGATTTAAGACTAATAACAAACCTTGAAATATGTTCTGGTTCAAGAATTCACCCCTCTTTGATCCAAAGATTGTAATATAAAGATACTAGAATTATTTTTTAGTAATCGCATCACGCGAGTTGATAAGATAAGGAAAGTTTCATTCTTTATCTCGCATGTATTTGCAACATTAAAGGATGGGACGTATTAAAAAATCAGTAATTAATCTGATTTCAGATACTGCTTGAAGGTACTATCTGACAAATTTTTTTAGTCATTTACCTATATTGCGTTACGAAGTAATTTAATAAAGACTTAGTTAATTTGTTGGAAATTTATTTTTAAGGATTGCATTCGACATTTTATACCTTAAATCAGTTGATTTATTTATAATTAGCTCATTTATTTGAAAGATTTTTATATGGTAAATTATCGTCATTAGCGGTCTTAGAGACATTTTATGATTGCCGTGACGTAACTGCAATTATAACATGACTCTTAATAAGCAAAGCCACCTAAATGAGACAAATGGACACATGGTACTAATATACTCTCTCTAGTGAAAGTATAATATAATAATTTTCAAGCTTAAGCTTATATCATAATAAATTCCATTTAGTATAATATTCATTCAAAACATATATTGTAAACTTTAACATTAATTATTATATTTGTTAATGTTAATAGATTATTTAAAAAAATTTTTTATAAATAATAAAATTATTTATTATTGATATTAACATATTAACTAAATAATAACTAAAAAATATTAATAAAAAAAAAAAAATAATTATGAAATAAATTTTATAGTTATTTTGTTTAAATTATTTTCTTTAAATTTAATATTTGTAATTATTAAGTAGTGACGAATATGACTCTACAATCACTGGTGGAGATTGTCTCAATAGGGCAGTAATTACATCTACAAGTTTTCAATATGTTGAAAGGCTGGTTGTAATGCCATTCAAAATATATAGTTCCCAGAAAAATTAATACTCTAGTAGAGATGTTATACTAGTCAAAAGAGATACTATTATAACGATTATTTTTGAACTAGTGAAGTCAGGTTTTTAACGTCTTACGTCATGGATAGTAAAAATGAGTTACTTCGCGGCAAGACGTTGCCTCTTTACCATAGTTCTCTTTCCATTTAGCTCTGCACTTCTCTCATTTAGTATTTGCTTTTCAATTAGTCGATACAAAAAATATTAAAATGTTTATATTGGTTGTATGCACTTTTAGTAAGTTTAGTTTGTTTTGTAAGTTGGTACGGTGAGGATCGTTGGATACATTAGCATTAAGTAAGTTTGTATAAATATTTTGTACATAATTTTATAATTATATACTTGGGTATTTAAATCAATTTTATTTTGTATATATTTTTTTTGCTAATAGTGCAAAAGTCAATTAGGTTTGTGAAATGTATAAAATTAATTAAAGCAAATTTAAATAATAATTATTTTTAATTTATTTTTACATCATCAACTTATTGTATATTGATGATATAAAGTACACACACGTTTTGCCAGAAAATTATTTTTTATTGGTAGATAAATCAATTTTTTACCTATGATCACATAAGATAACCACTTTCGCTTTTGAGATCAATATTTTTCAAAGACATTTAAAGATTATTTAAATTGGCTTTCATATACTTTTTCTTTTAGTTATATAAATTTTTATTTTAATTTAAATAATTTATTTATTATATAAATTTTTTACTCTTCACAGAAGATGTCATTTTGGATCATATTACTTATTTTATTCATCGGTTGGGATGTTAATTATTTCTTACATTGTGGACTTACAGTATTACTTGGAAAATTGTGTCGTACTAAACGGAAAATTACAGATACTAGAGTAACTTATGGATTTTGTTCGACACAAGATGTTGACGTCGTTATGCGTCATATGAATAATGCTCGATATCTGAGAGAATTGGATTTTGCTCGTTTCAGTTTCTATGCAATTAACGACATGTTTAAAACATTTAGCAAATTTGGTGGAGTACCTGTACAAGGTGCAACCAATATACGCTACCGTCGGGCCATATCTATCTTCAACCTTTACAAAGTACATACAAAATTGATTTGGTGGGACGAGAAGGCACTCTACTTGGAACATAAATTCGTAACATTCGATGGCTTTGTGAGAGCTATAGCTATTTCTAAACAATCCATTGCTAACAGTAATGTAATCGATATGATGAAAACATTTCCAGAGACAGCTGTACGTCCTGAAATACCCGAAGATTTAAAACTTTGGCTTGATGCTAACGAAATATCAAGTCAAAATATGCGTAAAGAAAAATAATTTTATTTTTAATCTCTGTGAGATAAAAAGTGTGCAAGTGTGTCAATATGTTAAATATATTCTCAAATGGTGTTTTGTGCAAGGTTGAACAACTTTTTTTTGTGGTGTTGTAAATAATCCATTAGCATTTATAAAATGTTGTTATTTATATTTTTTTATAATAAATTAAAAATAAAAAATAATTAAAAAAAGCATTGCTGTTTAGAAAAAAAGTTAATGTTTTAGTAATTATTTACTTGTATACATATATAATATACGTCGAAATTGCTTCTCAATTTATACTAATTGGTAATTAAATGACACTATAAGTACTAACAATATCTTTTTTTTCAACTTTCGTGGTTTTAAAGTCATTTATTAGCATATTATAATAGATATGCAGAGTTAAATAATAAAGCTATTAACGATCATACATTTCCAGTAAATATAGGTACTTCATAGTTCCCGATCAGTTGTGACTCAAAATTGTAATTACCAATAATGATTTAACATTTTTTGATATTGTTTTTGTACCATATAAATGCATAATAGTCTCTGTGGTTTATGCTAAAGTATATATAAAGTATATATGTATATAAAAAATATTATCATGGATAATGTTAAACACAAACTTGATATGATAATTCAAATGCTAAAAGTAGTGACAAAATTGTCTAAATGAATTTACAAGATTTTAATCCATTCTGATTTGAGAATTTCAATTTTACAATATATATAATTTCAAATTTAGTCCGTTTTCCCTAGTGGGGTATAGAACAAAAAGTTAGTTATAATGTTTTAAACAACCGCTTTACAAATACAAACCTATGAGCCGTCACGATTCAATCACCTGCTACTGTTGAGATATGTAGACACAAATAAAGCCATAATCTTCGCAGATCAAATGAAAACATTGCATGCCAAGCAATGAGGTGGAATTGATGAAGAGCTAAGAGCACCAATTATTCGTGGAAGGATATCTACTTAGAATCAAGTAACAGAATCCGATACAAAAGTATGGTAAAGGCTCTATGCTCCACTGGGAGAAGAGGACGATATAGAGAAAGAGAGATACTAAACATTGTTTTTTGTTCCATGATTAGCGAAGTTGTTATTTCCCAACGAATATTAATCAGTTCTCATGTTTGAAGCCACCTTTAGGTTTCAAAAGAAAAAGTAGCGCTAATCCTTATATCTAATAACTGTCAAACGAAAATAAAACTAATATCTTCTCACATGGACACATTCTAGTTTGAATTAAAAGCACAGCAGTTATACTTGTACTGAGTTAAGCAGTGATTTTCCTAATCAGTGACTTTTAATAAAAGTTCCAAACAATATGAAATACAGAGTATGTCATTTAGTGATTTTCTATTCTCACTTGGAGAATAGAGCAAAAATCTTTATATTGGCCTTAAAATATGCATCACTTTCGGCGATGATCATAGCCAAATCTCTTTCCCTGGAGCACTTTTTTTGAGATCTACGAATAGGTAATACCTAATTACTGATTACTGATGAATAGGTCAAATCTGATGAACACAATGGATGCGAAAGTAATTTGAAGTATAATTAGAGCAATTTGATCATGGTAGCGTACGACTTGTGACACGGCACATTGTCTTGCCGAAAGACGACACGAAGTTGAAGTGTTGGATTGAAGTTTTATCCGAAGTCAAAATTGACTTAAAAAAATATGAAAGATGTGGTATATATTTTTATTCTTGGTTATTTTATTTAGTTTGTCACTATTTCAGTTTAACACAGAACATTTTGTACTTTTTGGAATATATAAATCACATTATTAAAAAGGAAATCCTATCCTCGGTACAAGTACTTGACATACACATACCATATTTATCACAAAATTACATATTTTAGAAATATAGATTGCCTATCGATTAGCAACATAGGCACAATAGTAATTCGTTATAATTATTTATATAATATTAACATCAAATTTAGTCGTTCGTTGAAACAGTACATCATTTTTTTTAAAGTTTGTCCTAAGTAAATAAGAATTATAATTTAACTGCATTTCATATCGCCAATCTTAATACAATCTTAATTAATAATAATGTAATTAATGCGAGATGAAGCTATAATTAGCTCCATATTGAAAGTTATTAGAAACTAATTGGTTTCTGATTTTTTTTATGGAATTGTTATGACTGATTTTATTATAATTACACTTAAATGCAGTAGTATAATTATAAATGAAATTTTTTAGTTAAAATGTATAAATTTGTATTAAATATTATATATATATATATCTATATATATAAAAGAAAGATGTGTTATTGTTACACCACTTATAACTCAAGAACGGCTGAACCGATTTAGCTGAAAATTGGCAGGGAGGGAGTTTAAGGCCAGGAGAAGGATATAGGCTGAACCGATTTAGCTGAAAATTGGCAGGGAGGTAGTTTAAGGCCAGGAGAAGGACATAGGATACCTGTTTATCCCGTTCACGACAAAGTAGGTTTTGAAATTATCAAATTTTTGATATAAGAAAATATTTTATTAAAATTTAACAGATAGAAATATAACTTAGTTAATGTGTTTTTAAAAGTTGTATTAGATCAATATAAGTTTGTGTTGCAATAAATATCGTTTTTAATCAATAAAACTACCTGGTTGTTGCAAACTCAACAAAATAAATAATTAACAATTATAATGTATGGTATGGTTGAAAATTTGAGTTTTTAGTTTTTTAATAATGCCGCGACCAAGACGATCGAATCTTTCCCGACAAAGCCGTAATGCAAGAAGAATACGAAATACTGCAAATTTAAGGACTGAATACACAAAAAAATTATGAATGATTAATGTAGGGATTTTTTTTTTTTTGTATTTTTTCCAATTAAAAAAAAACTGCTTATTTATTGCCTTTAAGGCGGAACAGAGTTCGCCGGGTCATCTACTAGTATATGTATATATATATGATTTATATTATATTATAGTATCATTTAAGGGTATATTTGCAAATTATATTAGAAATACATAACTAATATTTATCACATTAAATAAATTAAAAGGTTCAAAATATAAACAAAGTATTTCTTTAATTACAATGATGGTTAAACTAAACAAGCAACAACGTCATTCAGATCTAACATAGTACAGATAGAGAAGATAGTGAGATTGAAACACATTGACGTCCAGGGTTATGACTTTTTGGCTCTTGCATACCGTATTTAAAATACATTGAAACCTCAGGTTGAAATGCTTGTTTAAAAGCTTCAATACCAGCTCTTCATTATTGAGTATCTAATATTACGTTAATGTATTTTTCTATCTATAATTTGTGCCTTAGTGATTAGACTTTGAAAAGATGTATGTGAACAAAAATTTTTATGTGTTGGAAAAACTTTAAGAGTGTTATGCATTGGTCTTGCCAAAATCTAGCCGGTGTAGACGCAGATCTATTGTTAATTATTTATTATTTGTATACATATATAACATGTCAAAATTTCATATCAATTCACGATTATTATTGATTGAATGAAACTAAAAATATTAAAGAAAATTATTACTTTTTAATTTTGCTTGTTCATTTATTCTAATAAAGTAATTTATTAGAATATTGAAATATATGTGCAGAATTTATATATAAATTAAAAATATACATATCGATCATATATTTCCAGTAAATGTACTTTATAGTTGCCGCTTTGCAGTGTTATCCGTTCATTACTAATAATTATTATTATTAGTGGTAGTAATAATAATTTTTATAAATATATTTACAGCCTATCGTCTAAATTTCAATCATTAATTCGCGACAATGACTTTTTTCTACAAACCATAAAACGTACAAATATAGACAATGAAATCAATAATGATTTAGACACAATTTTTAGTGATATATTTATTAATTATTTATTTATATTGGTTTATTTACACGTTTTCAATTTATAGACATTTTTTAATTTTTATATGTTGTTTTTTTTATTTATTGTTTATTTTTAATTTTATTTTATTTATCTTATTTTGATTTGATTTTATTTTTATTTTTATTCTTCTTTTTATTCTTAGTTTATATTTATTTTCATTTGTTAATTATAATTTTAATTTATTCTACATTTAGTTATTTTATTTATGATGGTTTATGTTTCTTTTTATATAAAGTGTTATTGTTGTAATAATTATGGTTTTAATCGTTATTTTAAGTAGGTTATACTTTTCATTTTCATTATATTAATTAATTTTTATGCCATTAATATAGAAGAGGCAACAGGGTTAAGTATAGACTTCTTTAATACACAGATATTCTATTGTGCTGATTTTCATAGCGTCCGGACATTGTTATTCAACGATATACTGGGTGTATGGCCTTGTAACCATGACTTGGTTATAATGGCATGACAGTGACAAAATTCCAGTTTATTTTGAGTGGCTGGAGGTTTCTTACCTATAATAGCAAAGAGTTATTATTGATTTTCGTAACTTTAATTTAAAATTTTATCAAGTATTTTGCATATATAAGCCAGCAAAATATTCGGTTCTTCTAGAGTCACCATTAAAAAGTAGTGCTTATTTTATGTTGTTCTTTTGCGATATGCTTACAAAAGAAAATGCTTAATATTAAAAGATGCTTATTTGGTGCATCAGCTGGAATAGTTGGAGCTTCATTCAGAATTTTTATTCAAACTTAATTATCTTTATTATGTTGAGGCTAGTTGAGTCAGTGCACCTGAGCACTTTTACTCTTTATTAACTGCGAGGTTTCTTCAGAACCCCTCTTTGCGCCTAGACTAGATTATTGCTTATCATTTCATCAGACTAAGCAATAATTGACCTCAGATCTGCATACCTCCCCGAGGAGCCTGTAACCATTCTGAGATTTGATAACGCGGTGTTGATAAGTCTGTCAGATTTCGCAAATAATTTCAGGGCTTTATCCTTTATGAATATTTTGATGGGATCAATCTTGAGGTCCCTAAGGATGTCATTCGTCCTAATGTACCATGGAACTTTGAAAAGTCTTCTCAGAGCCTGGCTTTGTGCAATTTCCTGCTGGCGAATAGTAGTGTTTGACAACAATTAAATTTAAATTTCAAATAAAACTATTTTATTAAATTTTGTAAAATTTATGTTTAAATTATTTATGCAATTAGTAGCCAATCTATCAGTCAATCATTTATCATTTATTTAATAATTAATAATTATCTGTATCTTTAATTGGAGTTAAACAAATTTATAATGTAATTGTTGCAGTTCATGCTTTTATTATAATTTTTTTTATAGTTATACCTATTATAATTGGAGGATTTGGAAATTGATAAGTTTCTTCAATATTAAGTGCCCCGAATATATATTTTTCACGAGAAATTAATATAAGATTGTCATTGTTACCTCCCTCATTAACTCTTCTGCTTATAAAAAAAATAGCTGGAAATTAAGCCTGAACAGAATGAACTATTTATTCTCCTTTATCTTCTATGATTGCAAATAAAGGAGCTTCTGTTGATTTTGCTATATTGCTTTACCAAATTTAGTTTTCAACTAAAAGCTCTTTTCTATTTAACTTGTTAAATCAGCGTATTAAAGATATTGCTTAATATGCATATGCTTTCATAGAAGACTTTAATACACGCAAATAAAAATCGTAGCAACAACATCAATCATGTTGTTGCCACAAACTTTTATTATCAAACATGTTCGTCTACGACAAGACAAATGTTTTGCCTTTGTTGAGTTAATACACATTCAGTGGATTGTGTGGATACACAACAACACAACTTACAACAACACAACTCACAACAACACAACTCACAACAACGATTCAAGCACAACAAAATAGAAAATTAATAGAAAAAGTCAACAGCAAAATTTGAAAATCGTGAAATGCAACAAGTAAACTCGCTGTTTGAGGCAAGCAACAAGCAAGCAATGAACGATTAAATTTTATTTGAGCTTTTGTCGATGTTGTTTTGCTCGTCGATGTTGTTGCTTGTCGATGTGTTGTTGGGTTGATGAAGCGTCGTCTACTTATTATTACCCACATTTACTATTTTTAACAAAAAGAATTTTAATGCAGATTCAGTTTATTATGACCGTTGCAAGCGTGCAGAACTTGAAATCTTTTGGATAACGAGAAAAATTGTGAAAAAATAAATATTGTAGTAAATAATATAGCACAAAAAACAAAAAAAAATTTAATTGAAAAGGCGGGCAGTGTTTAGAATGCTAACGACTTAGTTTGACCGAATTTTTGTGTGAAAAATATTAAATTAATTTTTTTTATTTACCGTTTTTGTGTGTCAATTTAAAATTTAAAGTGTTCAAGGTACGCGAGAAGAAAGTAAATTCTAATTTTGTCAAAACAAGTAAAAACACAAAAACAAGTAATTATAATAAAAATAACTTGTTTCAAACGAATTATAAAAAATTTTAGTTTTTTTTTTTTTAAATTAATTATAATTTTAAGAATCACGAAAAAAAATTAATAGTAATTTTAAGAATCATAAAAAAAAAAATTTAATAATAATTTTAAGAATTACAAAAAACAAAAAATTAATGAACATGAACTCAACGTTTAATTAGCAATAAATAAGAAATAAAAATTATTTAAAAAAAATAAATATGTTATTATTATATTCTCTGTGGACATATCCTGTGTGTCATAGTGCAAGTACAATTTCACGCTATTTCTCTAAAATAAATGAAATATTTTTATTGTTTTTAATTTAACAAAATTGCCGAATACGTTTCATGTATTAAATTAAAAAAAAACGAAACAAACCAACAAATGTGATCAAATGCATTATTTAAATTAACGGATGCGCTTAAGCGGATACTGCGGATACTACGGCTACTCTAGCTGCTGATTTTTTGTTGCTACTGATGTAGTAGTAGCTCTTGTTGTTGTTGTTGTTGCTGCTGCTGCTTTAACATATTAGGCGATGATAACAATGATAATTTATTGCTGTTTATTTATTTTCATAACAATAACAATTTAACGCATGCACACGAAGATGCAAATGTTGCAACGCTTAATGAAATGTTTTGATGGAAACTTGATTGATGCAACAACACCATTTTAACATTTAAATTTACTTATTTCATTTCATTTGATTTTATTTTTTTTTATTTTATTTAAATTCATTTCTAATATGATTTTATGGTATGTGTCTTGTATCATATTCAGGGAGGGGGAAATTCATTTTGTACTTAACATTGATAAACTGCAACAGGTGAAGTGGATATAATTTATATTTCAATGGAAAATTTATTTTTATTTTATTTTATGGATAAAAAATTTTTTATACACGTTGTAGAAATACAAGATATTTTATTGGAAAATAAATTTATTGATTCATGTAAAATATTTGTTAACAGATTAGTTTCAAAAATCATTTCTCTAACAGGCGTGATATGAAATGAATTTATGTTTAGTTTATTAAAAGATTTAATTCATGTATGCATAAAATTAGGTTAAACAAGAAATTTAGTATTTTTTCTCTTTTTTAACTAATAATTCTTGCAGGAGTCTGTTATATCCCTCATTCGTAACGATTTTCAATCTTTCAATCGTTGTGGCAGTAAACCATTTGAAATCAGAAAAGCAAGTACTAATAAGAATAACAAAACTTCTAAAAAGAATATGAGATAATAGCGAGGAAGAGTTAGGTAGGATCAGGAAAATGATGGGTAGGAATGTTTAACCTAAGGCCAGGTAGAACGTATTGATATTCATGCTATCTTCTTACTAGCTAACGTTTATTTTTAGTGTTGTTATAGTTACCTATTCGAACCTAGAAATCAAATACATATAAAAAGACCAAAGCTCGCACAAAAGGATAGGATGTGATGGAAATAGAAGGTTAGGTACGACAAGGAAGGAGTTGGATAGGAATGATTAACCTAGTTAAGGCCCTTGTAGATAACTCTCTACATCTCAATGTGATAGCGCCATGAATCAATTAGCCTCAAGTTGGTGTGTGTGCTGGAGCAAGGGTTATAAGAAGCATAGGTGCAAAATGGAGCAAACATTATGGATGGCGTGTTTATATGTAACCTGTAACTAATATAATAAGTGGAAATATTCGCTGTTTTTAATCAGCTCTTATTAGAGTTTAAAGAATAACCTAGCGTGGGATAGGTAGAAACATCTTTGAATATTAATAACAATGACCCATGAATCAGTATATCTTCCGTTGGTGTGTACACGGGGCCAAGCGATTAGACGCGCTACGTTATAAGAACTATTCTTGCGATCGTAGCTAACGTAGGAGATGGTGTATTTTTAATGTGATAAGTAACTGATATAACAAATCGTTACATTCGGCATTTTTAAACTACTTTTTTTGACTACTGTTAATAAAGGTTTTGGGCTCTAAAAATAATAGGGTTATGTTCCTAAACCACCTATCTACTCACACGATCATTTCAACGAATATTTTTTAGTTAGTCTTTGCTTATTTCATTAATTCACAATTCTCTTCTCCTATTCCTTAGTAAGTTTGGTTAATATGGAAGTTGATAACTTATTTTGTTTAATTTATTCCAAAGCAATTTTAAAAAAATATGTTTTGCGCCAATGTTTAACTCAATATTTCTATAATAAATCAATATTTTTTAATAGTTCCAAGTTCGTTACAATTTAAATTGTATGATACAACGAAAATAGATTCGCGCTGAAGTTTAAGTCACTATATTCATAACAGTTCAGTGTTTCTCTAACAGTTCCATATTTTTAATGATTTTAATCTTTAAGAAGATGCATAGTCATATTGCAATTATGTAGTAAGATCGTAAATTTTTTATTAACAAATAAAAAAACGACAAAAAGCATAGTTTTTGATATTCTGCAGAGTCATTCGACACGTTACTCAGCTTACAAGATACTTGATTTTATATATATTTTATTTGAGTTTCTTTTATTTGTCTTAGATAATACACTAATTTATACACATTTGCCTTAAGATGCAAGGATTCACTCATATTAAAATGAACTATTGATATCTAAACAGAAATATACACAAATTTAATAAATAATTCAAACCCAAGCTACTTGGATCCTTACTATCCAAGTAAAAAACCACTTCAATGCTAAAGTTAGTATTAAACCAGCTTTTAGTTTCAAGCATTCACTCATTTAACATACATATAAGTGTGCTTGTATTCACATCTTATTCATATAGTTTATAATTTTAACAGAAATAGCAATCGTATTAGATGGAGTGGTGGCTTTGTACCCAAAGTCCATTTGAGCTCAAACAATGTCCCGTTGTGATACCACTTGCGTCTAGTGGTCTAATTGTTAGACATCATAAAAGTAATGACGAACAACATTTAGGCAGCAAATTAAGTCACTGTCTTAATTGCTTGAAGTTAAAATTGAAAGAGAGTAAAAATATTTACTAATTAAAATGGTTTGCTGTATGTACAAATTGCTTGAAAATGATTTATTTTCAGTTAAAATCTTTAAGTAACTCATAATTCGCAAATACATTCACAGAGGCCTGAATCTGTTCATTGTGTTTCTTAAAAAGTCTAACACTTTCATTATCCAATAAAATTAATTAACCACTAAAATTTGTTATCCAATAAAATAAGAGAATTAGTTCATACATAACAGCCTCTAAAATAAATGTATAATTTTTTATTAAATTAAACAAGGAAGACAAGGGAGGAAGGCTGTGTGTTAAAAACTAAACGTAATAGAGTGCAATAGACACTGAATTTGCAATTTCATGTTCATATTACTTTACAAGATAAACGTTTATACTTGATAATCAATCTTGCTCTTCACTGTAGTTAATAATAACTACACGAACAAGGAATTTATCTGCTAAAACCTTCAGACATAAGGAAAGACTTTAAATTAAAACTAGCTCACAGATAAAATGTTGGAAACTGTATGTAAACATTAAAGTATCTTTTATTTTCAAAGCTAATTTACTTTATTTTTAATTTTCATTTTATTAATTTAATAATATTTTAGTACGTTTTCTGAGAGCAAACTGCATAATAAGGAACTAATTTAGTTAAAAACATAAAGAGTACATTTTTTACAAATGCTTTCATGGAATAAAAATTTTGCATATACATACATACTGTCTTCATTTACATTAATTTAATTTTCTTGAAAATTAAATAAATAATATTTTAAATAATATAGTTTCTAACTTTTATTATTTTATCAAGTCAACAATCTTTTAAATTAATTTTTGATAACTTCAAAGTCTAACATAGTCCTTTGCTCATCAATACTTGATTCACTTAATAATTTATTTATGAAATCAAATTGAAGTAGATTAAATAATAAATTAATTTATACATATATGCAGTTCAGGATTGTTCTTGCAGATCAGATTACAAATCATTTTTCAATCAGATTTTATATTGAAAAACTATAGAATGGTTTCAATTTACCATATACTTATTGAAGTAGACGAAAAAATAATAATAAATATTATATTTGTTAAAAATATTGTCTACAGAAGCCTTAAAGCATCAATATAGTTAATCATATAATATAGATTTTTTTAAGTTTCTGAGTTGCAACAGTTCGAGGACATGGATTTGAAAAATCCAATCAATTTATACCATAACTTTTAAATTCTACTTTTTTATGTATCAGTTAGAGAGGGTTCATAAAGTAGTGAACTCAACAACAAAAATTCTTTTATATTATTTTAACTAATGTAATTTTTGGCTGATCATACACCTGTTTTGAGTATTGTCAAATACACATGATTAGTGTTCTTGGAATTATTTCTTATATTTAATGATTCGTAAATAATTGTTTTGAGACTGCAAGTACCAAGAATTTAACTCGTGCCCTACAAAATTTGAAGATCAGAGTCACAGTTCATTAGCCAACTGAACCAAAGCCGTGCTTGACTTTTATGTTCGCACTTCTTTCTGGAATTTTGTTAATTCGCTGTGAAAGTTCATTAACAAATTTACTTGCTGTGGTTTATTAGAACGATTCTGATTCTAATTTAATTTTATGATTCTTCTATCTGGGTACTCAGAATTGAATACAGCTATTTAGGTTTATATTAAACTATTTAGGTTTATATTAGGTTTATTTTAGAAAGAATATTTATGCGTCCAGTGTACTGATTCTAATCTTATTTTATAATACTTCCATCTGGGTGCTTAGGACGGAGTACAGCTAATATACGAAGTTTATTTAGGTTTATTTTAGAAGGAATTTTATTTTATAATATTCTACTTTTCATTTTGGTTTTATTAGGAAAGGTAAAACTTATGTGTCTAATATACTGATTCTAATCTCATTTCATGACATTACTACCTCAGTAATAAGGATTTAGT